TGCAACATCTCGAAAAAAAAAAAAAAAGACGAGAAGAAAAAGTAAACTGTTTTTGACAGGAAGATCATCAAAAATAATAGGGTCAATGAGAAACAAGTAAAGAGGTTGTTTGACAAATGAACTTTTCAGTGGAACTTATAGAGGATGAAATGCAGCACTTCTGGATTTGGCATACTATAAGACAAGTAGCATTTGGTAGACTCTAGACTCTAAAATACAAAACTGCTAACGGATTTTTGTGCTGCTTAAGAGAGACTTCGATGGTTTATGTCAACTAAAGATCAGTAATGTGTAAAAAATTCTTCTGTTCTCTCTATTTTTTTTTTTCGAAACTTACTGACCAATAATAAAATTTTATGATCATAGAATTAATATTCTATCAAATAATAATTGTTGAATTAATAAGAGAGTTTAAAGAATTAAAAATATCTGTTGTATAATGCCTCAAATTATGACCTTTTAATTGTTTAAACTGTTCAGAATGTCAATGCAAATAATATCTGTATGTCCAATGTGTGTGTGTGTGTGTGTTTCGGTGAGTGACTGTCTGTGTGTGGTGTAAGTGAGTGAGTGAGTGAGTGGGTGAGCGTATGTGTCGGTGTGTGAATGTGGGGAAGTTTTGAATGTAGATGTTTACCGGAATCTAAATTACTGCTGTTAGAAGCATATGTTATGGAGTGCAAAAAAGAGTAAAATTGTCCAGAGCCTGACTTCAGTTTGGGAAGTTTTTTTGAAAAGCGACTATTGCTTAGTGTTGACATCATTTATTTTTTAGCTTATCTTTACCATATTGTCTTTCACTTTTTATTTATTAATTGACTAGCTTAGTTAAGATAGCAAAAATACTAGTTGATGCCAATAATTGTAGTAATGGATCTACTCGTCAAAAGGTTGTTCTCAGCAATTATAAGTGGGTTACTTGAAGAAAGAAAAGAAGAAAAAAGAAAGAAAAAAAACTAGATATGCTTCGTTGTTTTGAAGATGTTATAGTTGGTAGACTGACGACTGATCATCTCATTATTATCGCACTTTTTTTTTT